GATATGTCATCCTTGGGTTGGACTCCAAAAAAATATCATACTATTCTGCGTTAGGTAAGTATTTGCTGAAAAGTGATGGAATGACTGTCAGTATTATAACTATTGCTTGTTCCACTGTATTCTCAAGAGATTTGCTTGCGTATATTAATTGAATCACTTTAACTTATACACACAGTATAGTTATTCAGAAGAAATAAAAGGTAAAGCCCAATAGTCATCTGATAAGATGGGAAAATAGATCGTTTTTCCTCTCGTGTTCAAATAAAATGAATATTGAGAATAAACTTATATTTCAGAAGCCTGATCGCAATGTAGCCTTTTATAGGATAAAAAATGGTTTTATAATTACTTACTCCAGTCAGGGGTGAATAAGAATTTGATACCGACATCGGCGTATTGCCTCGTAAGGGACCAGCAGAAGGTGATTGTGATTATTAGCAATAAGAGTGGAACAAGAATTATGTTCGCCTTCTCGATCCACTTGATGCCACCGAATACACAGACGCCAACAATAAATAATGAGATGAAATGTGTCAGAACTGGCCAGTAGGACTGCTGTATAAGTGAAATATCGGGAATGAAATAGATAACTGATAATAAAAGGCTAACAGAGAAGATAAGTTAAAAGAAATGCATATTTATTTTGTGAATATGAGAGGGAATAGGGAAGAAAGGTAACAGTAGAAAGCAAAAGGGGAGGTGAATCAATGGAAAGCTGTAACTATTAGAATTCCCAAAATATTTCGGTTTAATACTCCACCCTTCTAATTCTGCTTTTAATATTATTTGAACTAATGAAGCTTATTTTATACTTGGATATATACAAATTTATCATTAAGTTTGTTTTAAACACCACAGACACTTTCAATATTATTAATGAGATAATAATAATATTTCTTTATATATACACGAAAATATATAGCATGCAGATCTGATCTTTTTGGTCATATATTGTAATAAGTACTTTTCATAAATTGCATAGGCTTAATAGATTATATGATTAATAAGTATGTGACTCGCTGAAGCGAAGGGTCTTTAAATGATCAATAAATCGTATAATTGAATACAGGCTACACTAACTTGCTTAAGGCTTTGTAATGACTGATGGCTAAGCAATCAATTACTCATTTAATAGTATTATTGTA